CAAAAATGTGTGCCAACTTGGCTAGGCCATGATTCCCAGTATTGTGTGGTTGTCCTCCATTTTGTGATCTGAGATATTTATCCTATGTGTTGTAAATCCTAACCTCTATGATGTTAATGAGGCAGGATTAGTGGCAGTTATGTTAATAAGGCAGGACACAATCTACAGGATTAGGTTGTGTCTTGAGTCAGTCTCTTTTGAGATATAAAAGACAGAAGTGAGCAGAGAGGAGAGGGACCTCATTACCACCAAGCAAGAAGAGCCAGGAGTAGAGGGCACCTGGGGTCCCTGTGCTGAGAAGCTCTTAGACCAGGGGAAGATGAATGACAAGGACCTTCCCCCAGAGTCGACAGATAAAGAAAGCCTTCCCCTAGAGCTGGCGCCCTGAATTCAGACTTCTAGCCTCCTAAACTGTGAGAGAACAAATTTCTGCTTGTTAAAGCCATCCAGCTGTGGTATTTCTGTTATAAGCAGCACTAGATAACTAAGACAGCACCCTTGTTAAAAATCAGGTGACCATTGATGTTTGGATTTATTTCTGGCCTCTCAATCCTATTCCATTGGTCTGTATGTCTATTATAATACCAGTACCAGGCTGTTTTAATTACTGTGGCTTTAAAGTGTATTTTGAAATCAGGAAGTGTGAGGTCTCCTACTTTTTTCTTCAAAATTGCTTTAGGTGTTTAGAGTCCCTTACCCTACCATATAAATTTTAGAATTGGCTTTTGCATATCTGCAGAGAAGGCTGTTGGAATTTTGTTGGGGATTGCATTGAACTTATAGATTGCTTTGGGTAGTATGGACATCTTTACTACATTAAGAAAAGGTGTGGGTGGTGGCTTCAGCACCCCCTGTCTCCATAGCCAACCTGGACCCTGAGACCACAGAACGTCTTTCATCCCTGTGGCTTTTAAAATGAATCTGAACTCCCTCCTTCCCAAGGCCAGCAAGATCTTGCATGCCCTTGACCCTACCCACCTCTCCCCGTTCACCAAACAGCCCTTGACCCTGCCTCACTCAACTCCAGACACACAGGCCTCCTTTCTGTTCCAGAGGCAGAGCTTGTTCCCAACTCAGGGCCTTTGAACGAGCTGTTCCCTTTGCCTTGGGCACTGCTCCTCACATCTCATGACTGGGTCCTTCTTGTGGTTCAGGTCTCAGTCAGATGTCCCGTCCTCAGAGAGGATTTTCTTGACCACAGTCTAAAGGAGCCCTAGCCCACCACACATTCTCCGTCAAGATCATCCTGCTTTATGTCTCCTGAGTGCTCACCACTCTATCAAATTACCTGGTTTATTTACTGTTTCCTCGATTACTGTCTCTTGCTCTGTGCTTGGCACACGGTAGGAACTCAGTAAATCTTTGTTGAATGGGTTCATTGGACAGTGTCCTGAGCGGGGCACTGCATGATGGAAGGTTAGGGGCAGGCTGAAGCATGGGTTTCACCTCAGACCATTGAATTTCACGGAGAGGAACCACGTCTCTCTCCTTTGTGGGGACTCCTACAGCTCAGGGGGTCTGAGGCTTGTCAACAAGGTTAATGGTAAGACCTGAGCTAACATAATCAATGAGCACATTTCTGGGTCCTCCAAGTAGATACAACAGGAAAATAAAACAAAGCAAAGCAGGGATTATATATAGTATATTCACATGGTGGCGCAGTGGTTAAGAGGTCAGCTACTGTCTTAGTCATCTAGTGCTGCTCTAACAGAAATACCACAAGTGGATTGCTTTAACAAAGAGAAGTCTCTTCTCCCACAGTCCAGTAGGCTACAAGTCCAAATTCAGGGCATCAGCTCCAGGGGAAAGCTCTCTCTGTTGGCTCTAGAGGAAGGTCTGTGTCATCAATCTTCGCTTGGTCTGGGAGCTTCTCTGTGTAGGAACCTCAGGTCCAAAGGATGCGCTCTGCTCCCGGCACTGCTCTCTTGGTGGTATGAGGTTCCTATGTGTCTCTGCTTGCCTCTGTCTTTTATATCTCAAAAGAGATTGGCCTTAGACACTGTCTAATCTTGTAGACCTCATCAGTATAAATGCTGCTAATCCATCTTATTACATCATAGTGATAGAGTTTATAACACATAAGGAAATCACACCAGATTACAAAATGGTACACAATCATACAATACTGGGAATCATGATCCAGCCAAGTTGACAGATATTTTTGGGGGACACAGTTCAACCCATGACAGCTACTAACCAAAAGGGCAGCAGTTTGAATCCACCAGCAGCTCCTTGGAAACCCTATGCGGCAGTTCTACTCTATCCTATATGGTCGCTATCAGTCGATTCAGCAGCAGTGGGTTTTGGGTTTTTTTTATTCACATGTGCACGTAGGAGTTTGTAGTTCACAAAACAACGCCATGTTCAATGTAGCCTATAAATGTGCCCATTTAATGGATGGGGAAACTGAGGCCACTGCAACGGAGTGAGTTGGAGGCAGATAGAGTGGACAAGTGCCCCAGGCCCAGAGCACCTTCCTTGAACCTGTGTCTGTGACCGGCATCAGGCCTCCTAAAAAAATATACCTGTTGCCATCGAGTAGATTCCGACTCATAGCGACCCTATAGGATGGAGGAGAACTACCCCATAGGGTTTCCCAGGAGCAGCTGATGGATTCAAATTGAGGACCTTTTGGTTAGCAGCCAAACACTTAACCACTGGGCCATCAGGGTTCCTCAGGCCACCTAGGGGCTAGGGGCCCTAATTTTCTCAATAAGTTGGGGGAATTGTTTCGTTTTGTTTGTTTACAGAGAAAGTTTTCCTGATTCAGCCACCTGCTTCCACCTGTCCCTGTGGCTGCCGACTCTTCCCAGACCACAGGGGCAGGAAGGAAGGGGCTCAACAGAGCTGGTGGACAGACAAGCGGTGCTCGCCCACAAAGGTGGGGGTCTCAGGTCTGGGCCTGAGGGAGAAAAGTCCAATTCCTCTTGGCAGACTTTTGTGTGTGTGTGGTGAAAATATACAGAAAAAAACATACACCAATTCAACAATTTCTACATGTACAATTCAGTGACATTGATTACATTCTTCCAGTTATTCAACCATTCTCTCTATCCTTTTCCAAATTATTCCACCACCATTAACATAAACTCGATGATCCCCAAACCAAAGCTCCCCCTCCCACCCTCTCCTTCTTATGCCTGGTAACCGCTAATAATCTTTGATTTCTGTGTATGGGCTTATTTCATATACCTCTTGGCAAACGTTACTGTGAGTTGATGCCCTGGCCCTGGCCTGCCCTGGCCCAGTCTGCCCTGGCCGGGTCTGCAGTGCCCTCTGCATGGGATGCTGTTTGTTTTCATTTCCTTGAGCTACCATAGAGAGCACCACAAAGCGGGTGGCTTAAAATGCCAGAAATGCTAGTAGGCCGATTTCACAGTGTTGGCAGGCCATGCTCTCTCTGAAGGCTTTAGAGGGAGATCATTCCTTGCCTCTTCCAGCTTCCGGTGGTCCTGGCAATCCTTGGTGCTCCGTGGCTTCTAGATGCGTCACTCATTTCTGCCTTCATCATTGCGTGGCCGTCTTCCCTATGTGACTCCGTGTCTGTGTCTCTTCTCCTCTTTTATAAGGACACCGCTCAGGTTGGATTAGCACCCACCCTACTCCAGTAAGGAGTCCCTGGGTGGTGCAAATGGTTAAGAGCTCAACTACTAGCCAAAAGACTGACAGTTGAACCCACCCAGAGGCACCTTGGAAGACAGGCCTGGTGATCTGCTTCCAAAAGGTCACAGCCTTGAAATGTCTATGGAGAAGCTCTACTCTGCACACAAAGAGTCACCATGAGTCTAAATCGACTCCACGGCAACTAACAGCAACTACTCCAGTATGACATTATGTTAACTGATACCTTCAAAGACCCTATTTCCACACAAGGTCACATTCACAGACACCGGGCGTCAGACTTCAACATTCCTTTCTGGAGGACACAATTCAATTTATAACACTGTTCTATAATCTATAACACTGTTCTATATCCAGTTTTTACTCTCCAGTGAATATCCTCACTAGAATCGAGCTATTTTGGGACCTTTCCTGGTACAGATGGGAGAGATGGGGGGTGAGAGTTCAAGCTGGTGGGCCAGGGTCCCCCTCCAGACCAGTGGAGCTGAAGACCCCAGGCTCCAGAGTCCTGGCTCTGCCTCTCCCGCACTGTGTGGCCTCGGCTGAGTCACTCTTCCTCTCTGGGCCACAGTTCCCTCATCTGTAAAGTGGCGTTTGATGATATGGACCTCAGACGGGGTACATGAGATCCGGGTGGAGGAGACCCCAAGCTTCATGTTCTAGCACATGCATATGCTGTGCCCTAAACCACCCCCAGACCTGGTCCAGCTCCTCCCTCAGCCCACCACAGCTACTCCCACTAGCTCAGCTCCTTTTGGCCCTCAGAGCCATAGAAAATTAGCCCTGTGACCTGGCCAGGCCTCATCCCAGCAAATAAGGCCACTCTTATTTGCTCCTTGGTACCAAAATCCCTCCATTAAATCATGGTCCCTTGAGCTCAAGGGTTTAAGGGCTGTTTCAGTACACATGCTCCTAAGGATGCCCCACTAGAGGCTGAGCTCAGGCTGGGGCCCCAACTCTCCCAGGGACTGCAGACTCCCTCCCCCAAGGCTCAGTGCATGCCAACCAAATGCTATAGGACCGCCATACTGGGGCATAGCTCATGGACAGAGACCCCAGATCTGCTCGCCAAGACCCCTCAGTGTGCTGGGGATCTGGCTGGCAGGGCCCCACTCCACTGAGCAGACCTTCTCTGTGTCTCCACCTGTCCTTCCCATGGAGGCTGTGGACCTTCTGAGGGTGGGCCGTCCTGACCTAGGAACCCAGCACGGCAGTGGAATCACGGGCACGTGGTGACCATGGCAGTCCCTGCCCCAAGCCTCCAGCTCTCCTCTGGAAGGAGGGCTGAAGGGGTTCCTCCACAGGCCTAGAGGCTGGGCAGGGGGAGTGGACAGCTGTCCCTGCTTGTTGGCTGAGCAGCCGTGTCTCTCTGCCCATAGATCCTGAACATGGAGGATGATCAGAACTGGTACAAGGCCGAGCTCCACGGTGCTGAGGGCTTCATCCCCAAGAACTACATCCGTGTCAAACCCCACCCGTGAGTGCCCCAGCCCTGCCTCTTTGAGGCACCGCAGCTGAAAGCTGAGCTGAGCTGCTGTGAGGCCCTGACATGGTTCATCCTTCTGGCGTGGGAATGCCCTACCCCCAACCCCTGGCCTCTGTCCACCACATGGTGGCCCATCCACACAGAAGCCACTTGCATGCAGCAGGGACACAGGTGGGAGATATGAGGACACTGAGGACCCAGACTGCCAGGAGAGTGTCCAGGAGCACCCTGGGAGAGGGCAGGGCCTGGGCTCTCCACTGGCAGCTGTGTCGCCTCAGGCGGGTACATGCTCACGCTGTTCCTCAGTTTCCCTGTCTGTAATGCAAGGGCAGCTGCAGCTACAGTCTGTGCAGATGGCGGAGGATTCTACAGCATCCCCTGTGGTGAGGTCGGGGGTGAGGGAGGCAGTAGGGGGGTGGGCAGGATGCGGACCCTGTGGGCCCTGTCTCTGGGGCGGTGGGGAGAGCGGGACATCAGCAAGGAGAGTGTGGGACTGCTCTCCTGGAATGGGAGGTGAGTCTGCGGCCCAGGTATCCTGCGACCTGGGACCTGCTGGTTGGGGCTGCCAGTCAGCTTTTGGCGGTGGCATCCCATGCTGCCACCCTGAGAGTGAGTGGGCAGAGCCAGTCCCAGAGCAGGCCTATGCACACGAAATCTGTTAGAGACAAATGGGACTTGCTTTAATGATGGCTCAGACAGCCCCACGATGCAGCTGCCTACTCGGCCATTCACCAGACACTGCCCCCAGGAGACATTGCCCACAGGGGACACTGCCCACAGGGGACACTGCCCACAGCCCCTGTGGGCCCAGTCTGGGTGAGCTGGGGTCATGGAGGGGTCAGAGCAGCCCCATCCTATGGGAGAGACGAGACCAGACATAGAGAGTACGACATAGGGAGACCACCAGTGTTGAAGTGACTAACCAGGGAAAGCTTCTCAGGAGAGGTGGCAAGGAGTGTGGTTTTGAAGGATGCATAGGAGTTGGCTAAGCAGGGACAAGATAAGCAGAGGGAGAACCCGTGGCATATGGGGCCGGCAGGAAGGCCTCAAATACCAGGCCCAGGGTGGTGGGGAACCATGGGAGATATTTGAGCAAGGGAGGGATTCAGTCCAATTTGGAGGCAGGTGACAGGGCTGGAGAGGGCAGACTGGGAGCTATGGTGCATGGGTGGCTATGAGGTGGAAGGGGAGGGACGTGCAGAGTAAGGGTGGGGCCTGCGGGGTACATCTCTCTTTGAGTTATTTCCAAAGCTGCCACCACTTCTAGCTGCCTATGATGGGGCAAAGCCTCATCTCATCCAGGTCCCAAGCCACTCTGCCTGGGCTCTAGGTACCCCTCCCCAAGACTGTGGGGTTCAAGGCCCGTGATGTCCCTCCTGGCTATGTGACACTGGGCAGCTTTTTGCCCTCTCTGGCCTTCAGTCTTTCTGTCAGTAAAGGGGAAGGGGAGGAGGTGGCCCAGCCCAGCCAGAGAAGCACTGAGCAGAGGGTACCACTTGCTCAGGATGAGAGACAAGGTGACAAAAGACCAACCTGTGGTTGGAGGCGAGACTCTGCTCAGGGCTGTGGGGAGCCATGGAGGTTTCCAGCCCCTAATGATCCTCAAGTCAGCTCTGGCCCCTATGTCTGGACAGAGCAGGAATGGGGCCTGGCTGCTGGCCAACCCACTTTAGGCTGTGCCAGGCACGCTCTTGGTGGCCTTAGCATCAGCCCTGTCACCAAAATAGCTGTGGGGCGCCTCAGCTGCACACCTGACTTGGCCTGCGAAGGCTCCAGGTGTGCGGGGAGCCTGTAGCAGGCCCGCTCCTCCCTTGAGCACCCACGATCACCCTGTCTGCCCACGGGACCCCCCAGTGGGGAGGCACAGTCCAGACCCCTTCCCCCTAGAGCAGACCTCCTGGGGACCACAGGGGCACCTAGCCCAGCTGTGTGGCCAGTGGGGGCCAGCGGGCTTCCCAGAGGAAGGGGAGGGTCCGTGAGCCTTGAAGTCAGAGTAGAAGCTATTTGGGGGGAGGGGGCAGAGAGGCCCAGCCGAGGGCTGTGCAGGAGGAGGTTGTGAACCACTTCCTGATTGTCACAGCAGCACACACCTTTAGGTAGCAGCTCACTCAGTGCCAGTGCCCCTCTGAGGGTCTTATTGTCGCCATCTTACGGGTAAGGACACAGGCCCAGAGAGGTGGAGTGTCTTGATCAGGTCACACAGTGGTGCTGTGCCGGGCATTTCTCAAGGCCCGGCATTGTGAGTCACCCCACCCCGGAGGTGGGTCTGCAGCTGGGGGTATGTACGCATGAGGGCAGCTGTGTGACCTGTGGGTGTGCATTAGTGTCCTGGTGCTGCCCAAATAAAGCTGAGGGGGCTTAAAGCAATATAAATGTACTGTCTCACAGTTCTGGAGGCTCTAGAGGAGGATCTTTCTTTGTCTCTCCAAGCATCTGGTAGCTCCAGGCATTCCCCAGCTTGCAGCCACAGCATCATTCCATCTCTGCCGCCATCATCACATGGCTGTCTTCCCTGTCTGTCTGTCTTTCTGTATCTCATCCTCTCTTCTTTAAGACACCACTCAGATGGGATTAGGACTTCCCCTACTCCAGCATGACCTCATGCTAACTGACCTTAACATCCTCAAAGACCCTGTTTCCAAACAAGGTCAAGTTCACAGGTATACAACATACCTTTTGGGGACACAATTCACCTCACAACAGACGCATCCCTGTCCCTCTCTGCCCTCAGCTTCCACATCAGTAAAATGCAGACTGTTGCAGGTGGTCACCAGTAGCATCGGTGTGATGAGACAGCTGGCTCTGGGGCACTGCAAAGGACTTTCTTTCCCCTCTGCCTTCGCTTTCCTAGTGTAGGGGCAAGGATGTGGTCGTGACACCCTCTGAGGGCCAGCGATATTTACACGCTGACTTCTTCTCTGGGTTTGGTAGGTTCATTGGAGACATCCAGTCCCTTAGAATCTCCCATTCAGAGCCTCATTGGCCCTGCCCCACCCCTGTGCCTTCCTGGGGTGTCCTTCCCCACTGCCCTGGTGCGAGGGAAGCCTGCTCCTGGGCCCTGTCACAATCCCAGCCCAGTCCTCTCTCCTTACTTCGCCATGAGACAGCACTCCCTCGAGACTGGTCCAAGCTAGTTGAGCACCAGCCTCCAGGTCCCCCAAACTCTGGGAGACTCACGCCGAGCTCTCCAGATGGTTCCCTTGAGCCCTCTCCCCCAGCAACCTCACTCAACCCCTCCCCTCCGGAGACCCTCCCAGTGCTCACACAAGTAGCCCTAGCAACCCCTTCCCCTCCCCCACCCTTCTTCTCATCTCCTCCTTCAGACCCCAGAGTGGAGAGATGGGCTGAGGGTCCTCCACCAGTTTTAGGGCACTTCTGAGAGTAAAGGTTCACCCGGAAGCAGTCCCTGAGACACAGATTTGAGGCCAAGTAACTTACTTTGGAGTAGGGAAGTGGGGCAAGGAAGGGAAGGAGCGGGCAAGGAAGGGAAGGAGCCATAATGGGCGTGTTATCAACAGTCACCACCGTGGGCAACCAGAGCCCAATCCTGCTGGGGAGCCCCAGGAGATAGTGTGGAACACTCCCCAGAGCTATCCCCCAGTGACAAGGGAGCTGAGGTATTTGCCCACCACTCCCATCAGACATTGCTTGACAGAGTTCCCAGGGCTTCAGCATCACCAGTGTGTACGTTAAGCAGCCTTCATCACATACTTGAAAGTCGGGGGTACGGGCAAGGCACCAGCAGCAACTGCCACTGCACCTAACACCCTTTGATTTCAGCCGTGAGGCCTCATCAAAATCCTGAGACAACAGGAAAAGGCTCACCTCACATCTGTCACCTGTGCCAAGCTCGGTCTGACTCAGAAAGCATTTGCTGAAGGAGTGAAGGGCCCTGCCCTTGGTCTGCCATGGCCTCACCATGAGACCTCAGCCGCTCTGGGCCTCAGTATCCCCATTTGAACAATAAATCTAGGCTAAAACACTGGTGCCAGGAAGCCAGTAAGAGACCATCTAGCTCCTCAGATAAGCAGGGCCCAAAGAGGACAGGGCTACCTGGAGCCTCACAGCAAGGTAGGCCAGATAGAAGTTGGGTCCCTGTGTCCACCCCCAGGCCCTGTTCCCTGAGCCGTGCTGCTTCCTCCAGCTAGGGGGGTGGGGATCCTGCAAGAGTATAAGCATTTACCAGACACCCAGTTTTGTTTGTTCAGCAGGAAAACAGACTTGTACCTGTGCAAAAGCCCAGGTGGCCTTAGTCTGTATATCTGTGAAACGGGTACAAGGAGAGACCTTTCTCATCAGATCCAAGCTACTATTACTTTTACTTTTGCCATCCATTTTACGTATATATATTTTTTTACTTTTAAGCATCCACCATCTAAAACTAAAAAGCCTGGCTGTGGTTGGCTGTGTCTTGGTTCATTGCGGTATGTTTTTTTCCATTTTTATAAGGGTATGTGTTTGCCTGATGTGGTAGGAAAGGCTTTGCCTCAGGAACCAAAATGCTGGGATTGAGTCTCAGCTCCTGCCTGCCACAGCTATGTGACCATGGGCACGTTGCTTCACCTCTCCGTGCCTCACTTCCCCATCTGCAAAGTGGGTGTGGTCACGTCTTCTGCATCTCAGGACTGCTGTGAGGGTCAGCATGTCGCGCTGGACACAGGGGAGCTGGGGGTCGATGCCTGGCTTGGTACCTTTACCTGTGCCTCTCCTACAGGTGGTACTCCGGCAGGATTTCCCGGCAGCTGGCAGAAGAAATCCTGATGAAGCGGAACCACCTGGGGGCCTTTCTGATCCGGGAGAGTGAGAGCTCCCCGGGGGAGTTCTCCATCTCCGTGAAGTGAGTGCTGACCCATGGGGGCGTGTGCAGGAGAGGGGGCCAGGTGCTCGCTGAGTGAGGGTGGAGGAAATGGGTCCCTCCCTGCAGGAGGAGCAGCCTGGAAGCCAGCAACAGTCTGGGGGCCATGGGGGTGACACCCAGCCCAGGGTGTGGCCCAGAGCAGGGGCGTGGGGTGGGGTGGGGTGGGGATGTGTAGCATGGCGCGGTGGCCTCTGGGCTGTGTAGAACCCCATCCCCAAGGCCAAGGCCAGGGTGATTGAGGAATCTGCAGGATGGTAGGAACGGGGGAGGGGGGCACCCTGGTGGGTTTCTGTCCTTCCTTGTCCCAGTGCTCAGTCACAGTAGGGTCCAAATTCAATAGCTGAATATTTATGGAGCCGTGTGCTGCATGCCAGGCTATTCCAGGGGCTGGGGAATCAGCAGTGACAAAGACAAAGTTGCTGCTCTTGTAGGTTTTATGTCTTGGTGGGAGAGAGAGACAGTAAACAAGAAACAAATAAATACATAATGTCATGAGCCAAGGTGGTCAGGGAAGGCCTCTCAGAGGAAGTGAGGACATTTGAGCAAAAACCTGAGGGAGGAGGTAGAGGCTCCTGGGTGTCCTCAGGAATGAGGATCTGGAGGGAGACTTCCAGGCAGAGGGAACGGCAAGTGCAAAGGCCCTGGGATGGGAATGAGCCTGGTGTGTTTGAGGAGCCAAGAAGTGGTGGAGGGGCAGGGGAGTAGAGTGGGAGTCACCATCAAGGATTAGGGTGGCCCAATAACACAAGGCCTGTCTGGCCTGGCAGGGAGGTTGGTCTTGCTCTCAGAGAATAGGGAGCCATGGAGGGTTTTGAGTAGAGGGACGTTGTGATCAGATTCAGTTGATCCCTCTGGCTGTAGTGAGGAGAAAGGACTGTTGGGTAGGCGTGGCAGCCTGAGATAGTCACCCGGGTACCAGCTGGTGGCGGCCTACCATGGGGCAAGGAGAGAAGTGACTGATCTGGGAGGCAGGTGGATCTGTGGAGGGGGATAGCCAACAAAACCACCCCCCCGGGGTTGTTGTCAGTGACCTAGCACCTGGCCTGTAGGGACAGACTGCATTACCTCTCACTGCTACCATCACAGCTGTTATTGGGGTGGTAGCACTGCCATTTGGAAGCGGGGATGAGCGTGAACAGTGTAGGACAGCTGCATGGCCTCTGAAGCCACCACCATCCACTGTTGGGTCTGCTTTGCTGGATGTCAAGGTTGATTCACAGCAAATAGCTTGATAGTTCTCTAAAAGGTAATCAAACACGGGACCACTTTGATGGTTAGAGCTGGGCTGGATGTGAAGATGCAAGTTTGATGGGGCTGAAAAGGAAAGGCTCAGACAGGGATGATGAGCACTGTTCTTGTGCAGCTCGAGTCGGCCCATAATGGCCACATTGTTTTTAGGTACCATCAAGTTGATTTTTGACTCATAGTGACCCCATGAATGCAGAGTAGAACTGCCTCACAGTTTTTCTAGGCTGTAATCTTTATGGAAGCGGATTGACCTTTTGCTTAGCAGCCTAGCGCTTAACCGTTGCACCACCAGGGCTCCTTCAGTGGCTGCATTAGGACTCCCATTTGCAGAAAACATCCCTGGTTGAAGGAGCGCCACCATCGAGGCTCTGTTGGGCCTCCAGTGGGTCCCCTGACCTGCCTGCAGTCAGCCTCTCGGCATGTGATCACTACATCCACTGCTAACATTTGGCCCCTTCTGTCTTTGTAACTGTCTTAGGCTGGGTTCTCTGGAGAAGCAAAACCAGTAAAGCATATAAACATATATATAAAGAGATTTATATCAAAGAAACAGCTCACGCGATTGTAGAGGCTGGAACGTCTCAAGTCTGGGATAGAGGCTTCTCCTGATTCACGTAGCTGCAGGGGCTGGCAACCCCAAGATCGGCAGGTCAGAAAGCAGGACTCCGCTCACAGGCTGTGAAGATCAGCGAATCCCAGGATCAGAAGATAAGCAGATGGCTCAAGTCCCAAGAACCAGAGGCCAGATGAACAGGAGGCAGCTGTAAGATCCAGAGTGAGCAAAAAGCCAGAACGTCTGCTTATATTCTCATGCAGGCCACACCCCCAAGGAAATTCCCTTGCAACTGTATTGGGAGTGATCACATATAAATACTGAGAATCATGGCCGAGCCAAGCTGACACACAATCTTAACCATCATAGTAACCGACCAGTTGCTGTTAAGTAGATTCCCAGGCCTTTCTTCCGAGGCACCTCTGAGTGGATTTGAACCACCAACCATTTGAGGTAGATACTAAGCATGTTAACCATACGCACCACCCACTGACTCCTTGGTCTTTGTAACCAACACATTTCACAGTGGGCAATAAGGGCTTTCCTGGTGTGAAGGAGCACAGGTGCCTATACTCAGCTCACTGTGGTGAGCACAGGGTTTGTAATTAGCACATTATGTCTGTGTGCTCCTGGTGGCTGTTGTAAGAGCTGGGAGAGCTCCTTCCTTAAGAAAGTGAGCAAGTGTCCCCTTGAATCTGGCAGCTGCAGATTGGAGGGGAGCCCCACATGCAAATCTCAGCTTGATGTTGGATAGGTTTCTGAGTTCACCCAGCCATTCAAAAGGAGGGTCAGTGGCCCTGGTCGGTGGCCGTCTCCCCACCTGGGCCTGGAGGAGCCCCGTGGTTGGACACTGTGGTCAGAAAAGCACTGGAGGGGAGGGATGGTCAACATCATGAGTGCTCACCCCAGCCCAGCACTCACCCCCTACGAAGTCAGCCATTCGGCTTTTATCACTTCCATTTCCCTGGGAACCACCTTGTTACCCTGAGGGGCTGGGATGCCTCTTGCCTCTCTGAGCCTCTATTTTTCATCCTAAAAATGGGAGCACTGTCAGTATCCTGGGGGGGAGGGGGAAGTACTGTGAGTTCTTGGTCGTGACCCCCACCTCAGGATGCTCTGGGGCCACTGGAATCTGTAGTACCCACCCTCTTCCCTACACCTCCATGCCAAACACCCCTGCCCCCCATGGGCCCTGGGGAGGAGCCTCTTCTGCAAAGGCATGGAGTGGCAGTTTTCTAAGTGCTGGCTGTTGGGAGCAGATGGGAAGAGGCCTGGCAATCTTCTGAGAATGGTGCCCGCCAGGCAGGTTGTTCTGGCTTTAAGTGGCTCCTGGGACCAACCCCAAAGCCAAGATCACCCGGCAAAGCAGGGGCAGAGGGGAGTTGAACCACTTCAGGAGCCTGAGCTGGGCAAAACTGTTGCAGCCTCCTCTCCTAACAAATCCTGCCGCCAGAACTTCCCCCACTAGCACCTCAGTGCACTGCCCTCTTCCGGAGGCCTCCCTGTGGATGCGTCCCTACATGTGCTCATCATCTACTCAGACCTAAACACTTCAGCCTCCTGAGTTTGCCCAAGGCATTTTGCCTCCCACATTTATTGTGCATAAATTGTGTGTAAGTAAGCCACAGTGCAGGGCCCTGGGGACGGGGAGAGTCAAGACTAAGGAGTGTGATGGGGAGGTAGACATGGCCTGGCCCAGAGGGTCTCCATGAAGAATGAACCATCAGGGAAATTCAGTGGAATCATTCCACAGAGTGAAGGCATCAGGGAGGAGGGGACATCTGAAGTGAGCCCTGAAGCATAAGTAGTTTAGAACATAAGGAGAGGAAAAGGTATGCCAGGCGCAGGGAACAGCATGTGCAGACAACCAGACGTGGGCAATGAGGGGTGTGTGTAGAGAACAAAAATTTGTCTGATGAGGAGGGGAGATGGGCAGTACTAAGGAGCCTAGAGCAGTTCTTGAGCAGAGGAGGGCTGGGCACCAATTTTGTTCTGGGAAGGGGTCTGGGGCTGTCACCCAAAGAAATCCTGATACATGACCCTCAACCCCTCCCCCCGAGGCATACGGGCCAAGTCTTAAAACCAGCAGGAGCTTCATGGGCTCAGTGGCTGTGATTTGCACACACCGCCACCAGGTAGCATCCTTGACCCTCAGTTTCTCCACAGCTGGGTCAGGGCTGCTGGGTCCTGTTCCCACCACTGGTCTATCATCTCTCAGGGGGCCATTAACTCACTAGCTTTTAACCTTGGGCAGGTTACTCTCTGAGCCTGTTTCCTCATCTGTAATGGAAAGCACCTAGGATGGTGGCTGGCACACAGTACCAAAAACCCCAAACCCGTTGCTGTCAAGTTGATTCTGACTCACAGTGACCCTAGAGGACAGGGTAGAACTGCTCCACAGGGTTTCCAAGAAGCGGCTGGTGGATTCGAACTGCAGCCTTTTGGTTAGCAGCAGACCTCTTAACCACAGTGCCACCAGTAAGTGCTCAACAAATGCCAGTTATAGTAATTATCATTATATTACTCCCAAAGGCCACACAGTCTGCTGAGGGCTCAGGGATCCTCCACCAGACCCTTGAAACACTGCCCCCCAAGAATCCAGGCTCTTAGAGAAGGGGCAATGGCATGGGAAGGGAACCTACCTCTCGTCCTGGCTTTTTGGCCTCACACTTGCTGTTGGCCCTGGCCTGCTCTTGGCTGTCATGTCCTCACCTGTGGCACGGTGAGGGGATAGTCACCACAGAGCTGCAGGAAAGGGATGGCTCAGCAGATATGTATGTATCCCTTACTGGCCAGCCCTCAGGGACCTCTGCCCACCCCAACATGTGGCAGCTTCTGCAGGCACATGCCAGCCCCATAGAACTGTCAAAGGCAAGGTCTATGGGCCTTGCGCAGCAACAGTGCCCTTTACAAGCTGACATGGGGCTGCCCTTCCACCTCTCAGGGAGCACATCTGAGCTGACAGCCAGCAAGCCAGGGCCAGGCCTGGGCCGCACTGGGCTTGGTAACTTCGCCCACACTCGACCTGGGCCCTTGTTCTCAAGTGAGGTGTTTGCTTCTTTTATGCCAGAGGTGTCCATGAGTCAACACACGTGTTTGCTCTGCCTGTGTAGTCAGCAAAGCCGCTACGCATCAACCGCGCTAGCCCTTCCCGCCATTCAACCGCCAACAAAATACAGCAGAGCTCCTGTCCTTGAGGCCCACATTCTACAGGGGTAACAGACAGCAAACAGTAAATTATATAAAATCTTGGAAGATGATAAAAGTTTTGGAGAAAATGAGCAGGGGATAGGGAGGGAGAGGAGGAGCCTGAGAAGGACTCACAGCAAAGGCTGGAAAGAAGTGAGGGAGACTGGAGACTGCATGATCGCTAGGGGCCCAGTTTGCAGATAAGGAACCAAAGCCCAGAGAGGTGCAGTGACTTGCCCAAGGCCACACAGCCAGGAGCAGCCGAGCAGTGCTCATGGCCCTTTAGGACCTGACAGTCCCAGTCTGTCCTTCTGCCTACCTGCCCCAAGTCCCAAAGTCCCAGCAGGAGTGTCTCCCCTGGCCCCTGCCCACCCTCAGGTCAGTTTGCATCTATTTCCAGGCTGCTGCAATACCGGTGACTCTGTCCCTCCCCTTTCAGAGATGGGTAAATGAGGACAGAGAGGGTCTGCCCAGTGGAGATCACCCAGCAGGCATTCAGCACCTGGGTCTCTGACCAGGTGGGTCCACAGGCCCTGGCTGGGGCACTTGGGGGTCTTGGGACCCCTTCTGGCAGGCCAGGAGGGGAGCCTGGTCCTCCCTCTCTCCTCTACCTTCACCCCAGCCTTGTTTTTCCTCCCCGGGCTGCCACTGTCACCTTTGCTATCACTGCGGCTACCGCTGCCACCAGTCCAGAAAAACCCACTGGGCAGGACTTGATACTGCCAGCCCCAGGCCTGACTGGGTCCTGGGGCTTTTCTGCCAACCCAGCAGCTGCCCAGCCCCTCATCCCCCGAGTGTGGGAGTGAGACACAGAAACAAATACACCCACACTGCTTACAGAGACAGACACAGTCAACCCCACAGAGCAGGGAGAGACACGCCCAGACACATGTCCACAGCATTCCAGAACATGCATCAGACGTGGAGAAAGACAAAGACACACAAACACACATGGACATGCACAGATACACAGACACACACACATAGATACACCCAGACACAGGCACACACAGATGCACACACATACACACAGACACCCAGATAGACACACGTGGTCACACACACAGATACACACAGACAACCACACAGATGCCCCAGCTCCAGGTGTCCTCTCCTGCTGCCATGCCCCAAAGCTCCCCTGGACCTGGGATGGGGGGCCAAGTCTGGAGAGTCCCAGAGGGTAGTCCCTGGTCTCAGGGGTTCTCAGTGCTTTCTTGACGAGCTGGGCTGTGTCCAGACCTCAAGGATGGCCCAGGCTGAGACCCAGCAAGGAAAGGGAAAGGCCCTCCTGACGAGGGGCCCAATGTGGGCCAAGGCCGGATAGATGTTGAGCCGTTGGTCATTGATGGGGAGGAGCCCCACTGGCCTCAGATAGGGCAGTCACTGGGTGGGGGGCATGGGGGGGTGATGCCCGTATCATCAACAACAGCAGCATCACAGCACAGCTGCCAGGGCTGTGGGCCCCATTCCTCTTACTTGTAACACCAGTCATGGGGCCAGATGGGAGGGGGACAAGACCTGTCATTTTCTGAGCACCTGCTTGAGCAGGCATAGGTGAGGGCGGTAACATACAGGTCTCCCAGATTCACGCATTCTTGAGCTCTCGGATCCTGAGCCCTGAAGTGCCAGGATCCCTTGCTCAGTTCCACATGTGGACATCTATGTTCAGGCTCAGGAACAATTGCTCCACTGCTCACAGGGCCACAGGCTCCCCTTGGAGTGTGGAACAAGTCTGAGAGGCAGCAGCAGGTGGGCATCACAGCATCCGTCTCAGGTCCAGGAGCCCTGGCGGGCTGAGAGCCCAGGGTCAGGGTCCACAGGAGAGGGTTCCAAGGGCAAAGCATCCCAGTGAAACTTGAGGCTTGGGCCTCTCCCAGCTGGGCTGAGCCCACTTACACGTGTACAAGCCGGGGCCAACTGCTGCCTCCCTGCCCATTTAGTGTCTGGTATACAACCCATTAGGAACAACAGTTTACAAGAAGGTTGTACAAAGGGTTGAGAGACCAGGACATCCCCAACTCTGACTGTGGGCCTCAGAGAAGGCTTCTCAGAGGATGGGCCATTTTACCCGGGCCTTGAAGCATGAGTAGGAGTTTGACTAAAGAAGAATCCCTTCCAGCTGGAGGAAATAGTGTGTGCAAAGGCCTGGAGGTGTGTTAGGAAGTGGAGAGGGATGTTCTGTGTGGTTTGCAGCCCTTGACTCCAGCAGAGTGGGGGACCCTCCTTTGCTCCCCACACATACACTTGAACAAATCTTTATCTTAAGTCTTTGACAAGGCAGCACACCAGCCCCAGGGCTGACGGTGGAGGAAGTTAGCCACAAACAAGGATAGGCTGAGGAGGAGCAGCAGGCCTGTGCAGCTGGGACCACAGACTCAGGCCTCGGGCGAGCCCCAGCTGCACACACTGTCCAGAATGGCTTGACAAGATTTTGATTTAGAGCCCAGAGGCAGCTTTTTGTCATCAAGTTTCTATTCGGGATAGGTTCTCATTGGGCCCAAACATGAACAAAATGGCCATCTCCACCCTGACGGCCATCGGGCTCTCCCAGCCTGGTGGAACGCCCTCCATTAGCACTTGAGAAGCAGGTGTTCCTACACTGGTGCTGTCCTGGTTGGGCAGTGAGGCCGCTCCATGGGCCACTGCTCCCCACAGCCCCAGCCCAGCCAGGTGGCCCAGAGTGGCCCACTGACTGGCACTGCAGCCTCCAGAGCCCCGGGCCTCCCTTGCCATGCCCCATCCCTGATACAGAAGTCACTAAGGCTGAAGAGAGTGAGCTGGGCTGTGGGTCTAGCCAGTTTGGCCTTGGTGGGAGGGTGAGGAGGGAGGCAAGCCCAGAAAGCAGCCTAGCGGAGGACTGGACTTGAAGCAACGTAATCTGTGCAGGACTAGCATCACAGTGAGAAGGATTAGCACTGCTACTGTCGTAAATGATCACCAACGAGGAGCATCACTCAGGTTTGGCCCCGGCTCCACCCTTCTTCCTGTGACTCCAGGCAACTCATGGCTATGCTCTGGGCCTCAGTTTCCCCCACCATACAAAGGATTCAGTTAGCTCCTCCTGGGCCGTGAGGCAGACCAGCCACCCCGCAGGAGGGAGGGGGCATAATGGCTGTGTCCCAACCCACATGGCACCACTTCCAGTCCAGTCCTGAAGGGCCTGTCCTGTTGTGGGAAGCCAGGCTGTCCCCTCAGATGACCTAGAAGGTACTAGAAAGATTGTTCTCAGCAGGGACCATGGCCTGGGCAAACACTGGGAGGTGGGGAGGAAGGGGGTCCATTGACTGAATCACAGAGTAGAGGAAGGCTATGATGCTGAACACATCATCAGGGCCAAATCCTCAGTCTGAGGCCAACATTTTACCCTGGGGGACAATGGGGCCACACAAGGTTCTTGACATGAAACATCCACCATGGCTGAGCTCCCCTCACTCTCCGCAGCAGGACACTCTTAGAACTTGCTCTCCAAGGGATCTGGGGGCAGTGAGGGGGTAGGGGAGGGAAAATGTATGGGCTGAGGGGGATGTCGAAGAAACGTGAGTGGAGATGCTGTCCAAATCCTACTCTCCGAGTTGCCCATTTGCTGTTGCAAATAAACCATAGTCAGCATTTTCCAGGTTGAGGTCTAGTGAGATGAAGTTATACAGCAAGAAAGCAGCCAAGTCAGTGGCCTGGTCCACAGCCATCCTCCTCTGCCAGGGGTGTGAACCAGGTCTCAGATCAGGCCAGCCAGTGGAGTCTCGGGCCCACCCTCCCTGCCCTCCCTAGCTGCACTGTAGCCTGACCCCAGGTCTGAAAGAGGCCTGCTTCCAGGTGGTGGTGAGGCATGAGACTCTGGGGATCTGGGGCTGTGTGGGCACTGGGAGAGGCACTGGGTCCATCTGAGGCAGCCTGGTCCTTGTCCCCAGCTACGGAGACCAGGTGCAGCATTTCAAGGTGCTACGGGAGGCCTCAGGGAAGTACTTCCTGTGGGAGGAGAAGTTCAACTCCCTCAATGAGCTGGTTGACTTCTACCGCACCACCACCATCGCCAAGAAGCAGCAGATCTTCCTGCGGGACGAGAAGGCCCTGCTTGAGGTAGGTGGGTAGGTGGTGGGGCAGGTGGGTGCCCAGGCTCAGGCCAATCTTCCTTCCTCAGCAGCTGGGGCTGCAGGAGGAGGAGCGGTCCAGCCCAGGCTCCAGAGTTCACAGGGTGGGAAAGGAGAAGAGGGAAAATGATGGGACAGAATGGAAGTTCCATGAGGCAAATTGTGTCTGGCTTGTTCTCAGCTCTCTTGATAGTATGTGGCACTCACTAAGTGCTCAATAACCGTGTGTGTTGAACAAAGGAGGGAACTGACAACCCTGAGCTTACCAAGACCATGCACCGAGCTGGGTTCTGTACTCTGGGAGCCTCACTGTGCCCACTGTACAGGTGAGGAAACTGAGGCTCAGATAGTGACATGACGTGCTGGTAGACTTAGTCCTGGTGCCTCCTCCTGAGGAGCAGGGCCTGGGTAGGGTGTGAGTGCTCATGGGCGGGGCCCTGGCTGGGTCTAGGGCGGGGTGGCCCATCTGCCCCATCCTCACAACCACAGCAATTTGCTAGCCAGCCCTGTCATTATGGCCCAAGGACCAGCTCCCACTCTCATCAGGGTGACAATGCCAGCCCATGGGGTGATTAACCCCAACAGGCTGCTTGTCTTGGTGGTGTCAGCAAGGCCTGGGGCTGGAGATCAAAACCTGGGAGGGTCTAGGGAGTATGGCATGGCCTGGGGCTTGGGAGGGGCTGACCTCCACAGAGAAGCTGCCTGTCTACCTGCCCCCACCTTGCCACTTTGCTGTGCGACCTTAGAGGCAGTCCTCCCCCACTGGACCTCAGTTTCCCCTCTGTCAAATGTGCCAGGACTGTCAAACACTGCGCCTCCAGAGATCCCATTAGTGCAACCTCTGATCCTGAGGGTCGAGGCCACCGTGAGCACCCAGGCCTGGAGAGCCTGACACTTGGGCCCCAAATCTCCCTGCAGGGCCTGTCAGGACCTGTCCCCCAGATGTGCACCGTCCCCCATGGCACAGACCTGCTCTGCCCCTGGGGACTGTGAGGGAGCTGTGGTGAAGCTGGGGGCTAACAGAGAGTCCCCCAAACCTACTGCCTCACTCTGGCCTGGGCCTTGGGGTCACCCACCCTGTGGGCGACTCCAGAGCTGGCTCAGCTCCCTGGTACCAAGACGCCTCCCCCTTCCTGGGCAGAGAACCACTAATTATGGCCTCTCTGCTGATCCTATCGCCCAACCTGGACCAGGCTCCTCAGGCTCACAGTGGAGATCCTGGCAGCTTGCGGCTGTGGAGAGCTGCAGCCCACGTGGGGAAACTGAGTCCCACAAAGAGCAGGGACTTACCCATGATCACACTCAAGGACAGATAGGACACGCACCCAGGCTTGAGAGCCCGGAACAGCTCAAAGTGACAGCCCTTCCCCTCAAAGCCCGGCCAGGGGCAGCAGCAGCAAACATCCTTCAGCTTCACCTCGTCCAACAGTTTACTAGCGTCCTTCCTATGGCCAGCGGCCTTGAGTCAAAGACAGCCATGGTGGCTGCACAGCCAGGGACGTGAGGCCCCAGAGAACACAGACCTCCCCGAAGTGCTGCCCTGAGCACCTGACCGGCAGCTACGTGGTCCCAGTCAGGCTGCCAGGAACAATGTGTTCGCATAGAAGCGGTGCCTGTGGGCAGACGTGCAGGGGGTGGCCAACAGGAGGCCTGCAGAACCTCAGGCCCAGTGTTCATCTTGATTCTGCCTTGAAGGCCCTCCCCTGCTCACTTTTCTTTGTGGAGTCTCGGAAAGGAGACTGCTGGCCATGGCCTGTGAAGGGGCCAGCCGGGAAGTGGCAGGGGGCGGGGGGACCTGGGCGTGGTCCCACTGACCCACCCCTCCTCTCTTTGCAGTCCTCCCAGGCCTGCTTTGCCCAGGCCCAGTTTGACTTCGCGGCCCAGGACCCCTCGCAGATCAGCTTCCGCCGTGGTGACATCATCGAGGTACTAGAGCGCCTGGACCCTCACTGGTGGCGGGGCCAGCTCTCTGGGCGCGTTGGCTTCTTCCCACGGAGCTACGTGCAGCCCATACACCTGTGACAGCTGGGCTTCTGGGGCAGAGCTGGGACATCCACTCAACAGGCCCATTTCACAGGAGAAACTGAGGCCCAGAGGAGCCGTGAACATTGCCACCTGCCTGGGCCACACAGGGCTCAGCAGGGGGCTGGGCTGGATTGGGACTCCTGACTCCTGGCCACTTCACCACAAGCCCTAGCCCCCCAACACTACCCGCTTGAGGGACCTCCTGCCCGGCTCCCTCCCAGTGACCCCAGCTGTGTGACATCACGGAATGGGTAGGCAGATCCCCCCCCCCATCCTGTCAATGCACCCCTCCACAGAGAGGGTTGAGGACTCTTAGTTTGGCACTATTGTGGGCTTGACCCAAGGAACTCTGGGCTGGGGGGTGGGTTCACCATAGACTGACCACCTGTGGGGCCTGCCTGACCCTTCCTCAAAAAGCCCCTTGAGTTGTAGGGGCTGAGGCCAACCAAGGGGGCTGCAGGCTATAGAACTTGACTTGCAGGTGGGGACAGGCTACTCGGCAGCCCCTCATCTCTGGGCTCCACCTGGGCACCCCAACCCTGCCCCCACCACAGACACTTGAGAGCAGCTGGAGTCCCTGAGGACAGGTGGGCATGCTGCCCCCAACCCACACCATTCTGCCCCTGACAGGTTAGAAGGGCTTCTAAGGGACATGACCTACCCCCCACCCAGCCGTGTGGGGGACCTGGGCTGCAGAGGTTCTGGTTCATTGGGGCTCATGGGAAGCTCAGGTAGAAAATACAGCTGGATTGTGGGGGTCCCAAAGGATCCAAAAAGGGACAAGTATTCCAGGTGTGGGCACAGCTGGTGGAAAGATGGGGGTCCCAATGGCATGTGCCACCAGTAGGGGAGTGGGAGCAGGGCCTGCCCTGAACCTGGGCACCTCCGGGAGCAGGGACAATGCGGTGGGGCTTGTACAGGGCTTCCAGCACCAGGCTGCTAGGGAGGTAATAGGGAGCCACAGAGGGCTCTTGAGCAAGGGAAGGAGCTAGGGAGGGTGGTGAGGGTCCTCTGGCAGCAGGAAGCAGGCGAGTTGGAGGGCAGAGCTGCTGCAGTTTCTTGAGTGGGGCCCTGTGTTGTAGGTACTCTGTCTCTCCCTTGGTCCTGCCCGGGCTGCAGCCCTAGAGCTGGCCCAAGACCATTAGAGCCCTGAACTCTGCGAAATGCTATTGCTCTTGCCCTGGGCCCACGTGTCAAAATAAAAGTATCAGGATGCTCATTAGAAAACTCATTTTCTTTCCAATCATGACTACCTTGGTGCTATTTTGAAAGATCAGTTCTTTTGCTACCCCTGCCACCCCCTACCCCCCCCCCCCAATTTTTCAGGATCCTGCTTGGCTGGCTTGGCCAGGACCCAGGCAGTGGCCTACTGTGTGGCCTCAAGGGGCCTCAGTCCCTCATTAGGGAAGGGAGTGGCCCTGCACACTCTGGGGCCCCTAACCCTGGGGGCTAGGCTCCAGCCTGCTTGCCCTGGTGGTGGTGTCAGGCAAAGTAGGCGTAGAAGAAGATGTTGACACACATGAGGAGTATGGCGTTGAAGCCACAGACACGGGCCCAGAAAGCTTGCTTCTGGGGCGTTTGGCCGTCACCTGGAGGGGTTGGAGAGGAGGAGGGACAAATGACGGGGACAGGTCTGCACCTGGTGTCTCCAGCCCCAGGGGGGAGGGAGAAGGCGCACCCAGGGTCTGGCACTGACCTGCTTTGCCTCCCAAGGGCAGGGTTTGAGACAGGGTCCACCAGGTAAGGTTCTCAATCTACAAGGGGGACAGGGGGATCCAGACAGGGTCAGGGGTCAATGACAGAAAGATGGCAGCTGAGTTCAAAAAGGGATAGGAGTCAGCAGCACCAGAGAGGGTTAGAGGCCAAGGGCTAGAAAAGTCTTGAACAGAGAGTGTCAGGGGTCAGAATGGGACCAGAGTCAGAAACTGAGCATTTAGGGTGAGGAGTTGGAGTCAAGCACAGACATGACCCATGAGAAGCTCAAAGGGCAGGGGCCAGGGCAGGCAAGCTCACCTGAGCTCCCTGGGGAGCTGGAGTCAGCAGGCTCCCAGACACCACCACAGCGCTGCTGAGCACAAACAGGGCGACAGCGAAGTGCAGGTAGTGGATGCTACCGAGGAGGGCTGGCTGCACATCCGGGGCACCGCAGGGTGGAGCCGGGTGCAGGAACTCCAGGACCATACGCCCGGCGCCCACAGCCAGCCCCACCATCAGGCCCCAGAAGGCCCCCTGTGAGAAGGAGGCAGGGCAGGTGGGTCAGGTGAGGAAGACTAGGGTCCCCTCCATGCGTAGGCAGGGGGGACATGAATAAGCGGAGCACATGGGAGGGAGAGGCTGGGAGGCCTCACCGCTGACTGGGCAGGCAACCCACGTCCCATCCTGCCTCCGGCCCCACATTCCCCACCTGCTCATTGGCACGCCGCCAGAAGATGCCCAGGACAAACACTGCAGCCACTGGGGGGGCGAGGGAGCTGGTCACTGACTGCATGTAGATGAAAAGCTGCCCGCTGTTGGAGCCCTGCAGGATGGGGATCCAGGCCACGCTCACGCCGATGAGCACCACGATGACCAGCCTGGGGCAGGGGCAGGGCTGTGGGCCGCTTGGGGCCTTCCTCCACCCCCAAGCTTTCCCTAGCCACCAAGTCATGCCCTCCACTCTGTCCCGGGCCACCTGCCTCTGGCCCAAGAGAGCACCTCACCCTGGCCTGGCCAGCCTGCCCCGTCCCTGACCACTGCTCCCCGCTGCCTGCAGGCCCGGCCCCTGGTCCTCCCTGGGGTCTCCCTTTACCTTCTCCTTCAAGACACCCATCCCACCTCCACTGGCGAGTTCATATGTGTGTTTCCTTGTTTGGGGTCTGTCTCAACTCCCGACAGGAAGCACCAGGAGGGAGGAGCTTTCCTGGACACACAGCAAGTGCTCCATAAGCATTCAGCGGAGGAATGACGCCTTGCTGCCCTCCATCCAGGCCAGACCAGCCCTCTCACTGTTTCAGCACAGCCCTCCTCAGGATGCCAAGCCTCTGTGAGCTGGGCCTTGCCAGATCCTCCAGCTCCTCACCCTTTGAGGTTGGCTCAGGGCTTGATGCACGGCCTGGGCTTGGGTTCGAAACTGGGCTCCCTGCTGCACAGCCGAGCCCCCTCCCCTCTTTTCAGCTCTTGCCTGCACTCTGCTAGGCAGAGCCCTTCACAGAGGGCTTCACACGCTCATTCCCACAACAAGCCAGAGTCCCGAGTGAGGGCCCTGCATTGGGGCCCCGATGGCGACAATCGGCTTGGGCCTAGCCAGCACTCAGAGTCAAGGCAAGAAAGCAGATGAGCCTGTGCTCAGAGCCAGGCCAAGGGAGCCCAGGGGAAGCCCCCAATCCAGGATGGCTTCCCAGAGCCTCGGAGAAGTGTGGGACCAGCTAAGGGGATAAGTCCTCTGCCCCATCTGCTCCTCCCTGGCTGAGTGCCCTCTCCTCTACCTCCTGGGTCAGTGGGTATCCCTCATCCCTGAGGTGGGGTGGGGGAATGAGATCCCTGGGGCCACAGTCACAATGGCAGGGACAGCAGAGCCTGTATGTCCTCTGGAGTGGGTCCTCCTTCCCACTCGCCAGACTTTCTTCCCTTCCAGGCCCAAGGGAGAGGGTGGAGGAAGGAGGTATCACTAGACTAAGGCTAATTAAGCCTTAGCCTGGTGGGCGGGCAGGCAGGCGGGTGCTGCCCTCTTCAAAGGCATGGGCAGGCCTCCATTATGCCCGTCCCATCAGCCCTCCACACACGCCCACTGTCCAAAGGCAGACTCAGCACTTCCCTGCCAGAGCCTGGGCCCCCACCCCAGCCAGCTGTGGCCCTCCTTCCTTACTGCCCTCTAGGATCTCCTCCCTAACTCAACCCCCAGTCAGGCTGCCGCAGAGACCCCAGAAGCAGCCCAGCCCCTGCATGGTTGGCCCACCACCAGCTGCCCAGCCCAGCCCAGCCCTGCCTCTTGCCTCCTTGCTCACGCATCACCCTCCAGCCACAAGAACAATCAGACCACCTCAAGACTCAGTCTCTGCATGGCTGTCCCTTCTGCCTGGAATGTCTCCAACTTCTCCACTGCTCGCCTCCACGGCAGGGCTCACAGGCTCCCTCCTCCAGGAAGCCTTCCCTGAGCCTGCCCCTCCCTCCTACACGGACTCAGGATCAGTGACCCTTTTACTGTCCCCCTAGGCAGGGGGCTCTGAGTTCTGTCTAGGCCCATGTCTCCCAGCTCAGTGCAGGGTCCTTAGGAGGCCCTCGGCGCTGTGTGCTGTCAAATAACAAGCCAGGGAAGATGACAGGGGAGGGGGATGAAGGTGCCAAAGGAGGGGTGTGGGCCTGGGTGAGCAGAGATCAGAGCCCTCATGGTGAGACCATCCCTGCCCCTGGACCTGGACACTCCTCAGACCTCCCCACCATGACAAGACCCTCAGGGTCACCAGCATGCCCCTGCCACTCCCTAGAACGGCCTTCTCCCAGACCTTCCGTCCTGCTCTACTGCCCTCTCCTCTGCCCCTCTCTCTGTGCAGCCAGGCTTGGTCATGCTAGCCCACCAGAGAGCAGGACCCACAGGCTTAGGAAGCACGGCTTGACTGGTAGTGCTTTAGGCAGAAAGAGGCTGAACAGGCGTCTCAGTGGCTGGAGGTGCTGGGGGTTTTCCCAGTGCTTCAAAAGGGAGAGGTAGCAGAACTGAACCCCACCCAACCCAGCCCTTCCTCCTCCACTGGACTGGCAGATGAGGGAACTGGGGCCCAGAGAGGGAGAGAGACTCACTCAGAACCACATAGCCTTTGCCATGCCCACGGGGGTTTGAGGACCAGGCTGGTGGAGCCTGGGGGGCTTTGGCTTGTGGAAGAGGTGGGAAGGAGGGTCAAGGGTGTAGCAGCTGGGTGAATGAACTCCCATGGTGGGGGCCAGCTCAGGAACCTTGGGCTTGGGAAGGCGCAGGGAAGAAGCCTGCTTCTGGGAGGTGGGGTGGAGGGCCACTGAGCAAGCACTACCAGGAGCCGGAGGGTCAAGGCCCTCACTGGATGGGGCATGTCTAGACAGCAGTGCTCCTTGGAGGAAGCAGTGCCTGGCACTGGTTGAGGGGAGCAGGAGTCCAGGGCCCAGCTCCTGGAGTGCTAAAGCAGGGAGGGGCTGAGAGGGTCTATCGACACAGGAGTGGCCGTAGGTCACAGAGTGGTGGCTCTCCTGGGCCAGTAGCCACTGGGGAGGGCAGGGAACCGCCTGACAGGAGCTAGAGACACGGGACACACAAGCATCCTGTGTGGTGGAACAAGAGGCTTCTGGTTCTGGAGGAGTATGCAGATGAGCTCATGCTGCCCGCTGACTGGCGTGTCCCAACAGGGCTCTCCCAGCACAGCACAGCTGCTTTGCATGCCTAGGACAGCATCTAGAGCACCCAAGGGCGGCTAACCAACACCAGGGCTGGCCCTCTACAAGCAGAGTGGGGTCTGCAGGCACAGGGGAGATAGGAGCCATTCCCCAGCCCACCCAAAGAGGGCTCCAGGGGCCTAGGCTCCAGGGGCTGGGGTGGAGGGATGAGCCACCTGACAGCTCCTGTCCTCACCAAGCACCCAGCCTGGTGGGGTAGGGTGTCAGGGAGCAAAGTTAGACCTGAAGGGCCACATTTGCTGCTGAAGGGATCTGGCATCATCCCTTGAAGGCACAGAGGGGAGAGGGGCTTTTTCCTCTTCAGGGGCTATCAGGGAGGGCTTCATGGAGGAGGGGTCCCTTGGGCAGAGTCTAGAATGATTAGGGTGAGTCACTGAAACAGGCAGGAGCATGGAGGCCTGAGGGGCAATACGTCCTGAACGATAAGTGCTGGCTCCAGGGACCTCTTTGGGACAGCTGGGAACTATCAGGAGGGTAAAAGGCTCAGTTTTGGGCAGACAGATCTCTGGGATGAGTGGAGTGGGGGTGACTGGCCCTAGCAGAGGGAGCCCAGCCCAGGGTAAGAGATGCATCAAAGATGAGGTCTATGGCCCATGGCCCTTTGCGAAGGGGTGGGCAAGAGAGGAATTTGGGAGGCCAACAGGCTATTTTGGCTTCTTCTCGGCCCTCTTTCCTGGCATCTTCCCTTCTCCAACTGGCAAACTCCTACCAGCCCTCAAAGCCTGCTACTGGTAGGGCCTCACCACCCAGTGTCCCAGCACCTGCCAACCATACCGTCCCACCAGCAACAGCTCCTGCTCGCCAGCACGGGGCCGCAGCTGCCGCCAGATATCCATGGTGAAGAGTGTGCTACTGCTGTTGAAGATGGAGGTCAGTGACGACATGAGTGCAGCCATCATCACTGCAATCATCAGCCCCCGCAGACCTGTAAGGGTGGGAGGGCTGCCATAACCCTGTCTGCCCCATCCCCGGCACGCCCCGTGAGCCCGCCCAAGCCCAGGAAGGCCTCACCATCTGCACTGTGCCTGAGGCTGAGCTGGCTAGATCGTTCTGAGGGCAGAGATCGGGGGAGGCTGAGGATGTCTGAGGTAGGGTGGGGGAGACCCAAAGGCAGGAGGCTAGGGAGGCCGAGCCTGCCTTCAGAGTCTGCTGCCTGGGCCTGAGGCTTGCCGGCAATAGTAGTAATCATCATAATTACCAGCACTGTTGTTGATGTTCATCTCAGCCCTCTCATTTCTAAAGCACCTCGCGGTTGACAAAGCACTTTCACGGCCATGACCTCATTTGATGGAAGAATTACTAACTCTTTCACAGAAGAAGAAATGGAGGCTCAGAGAGGGGATGAGAAGTGCCCAGGGACTCACAGCAGGCTTTACTGGGGGAGGCAAGGGGAAAGGCCTGGGGCAGGGCTATCTGCTCAGAGGTCAGCCCTGGGCAGGGCACATGCCTCGCCCCAGCCCCCAGAAGCCCAGTCTCTCCTGGCATGGGGGGCCCCAGCTTGCAGAGTGAACACCCTTTCTCTTTTACGCTGTTACGGAAGAGGCAATAAGGTCACCAGAGGGGAGAAAAAGTTCACTGGTGATTTGCTGAAAACAGTGAGAGTCCCCATGGAGGTGGGCAGGAAAGTACTGCTGTGCAAAGTCTCTGGGAGTCATGAGCTAGAGGGGGGCTGTGGGTGGGGGCTGGAGGAGGGGAAGGATGCTTGACTCTCATCTCAGGGCTGGGTGGCTGGTCTTTGGGCCTGGTTTCAGTTTGTCTCCAGTACTTTCCCTTCAAGCACTTCAGTCCCTCCTCCACCCCTGCAGACTACCTGCCCCTCTATCCCCCACCACCACCAACATAAGCCTGAAGCGGACCCCCTTCCCATGGATTCAGCCTTGAAGATGACTTCTCCTCCTGACCTTGCATTTGACCTGCTATGTGACTCCAGGCATCCCATGGGCCTCTCTCCACTTTTTAGACTGACTGGGCCAAGGGCCAAGGGAGACTGAGTTACACCACGGTTCTCCCCAAAATATTTTTCCACTTTCTTTCTCTTGCTCAGGGAGATGGATTGAATCTGTGCTGAGTCTACCCATTTCTTAGATGAGGAGCTCAGGCCTAGAGAGGGATTGTGGTTCAGGCCATTCATTCAATGACTGCTGGGTGTCAGTGCTGGGGGCTTACAGAGTCTCCCCAGAACAGAAGAGGAAGGCGGGGCCCAGAGTGGGGAACCCACAGTGTTGCCAAACCTCGCATCGGGCACTTATTAAGTTTAATCCCAGCAACAATGCTGAGGGGTGGGTAGGTGTCATTATCGCCAACTTACAAATGAGAACACTGAGGACCTGAGCAGGGAGGTGATGTCCCCCAAATAGCTCCGCCAGCAAATGGCAGAGCCAAGATCTGATCCCAGCTCCAGGCACTCACGTTAGCTGGGCCTTGGCTGTACAGGAGGATGGACAGTAAGGAAGGGCAGGGGTGGGGTGGGAGGAGGCTGTCTGCCCCTAGATCTCCCAGGGGACAGGAAGCTTCCACAGGGGAGGCCAAAGGAGGGAAGCCAGGCAAAACACAAGGGTCTGCAGACCTCAAGATGAGAACCTGGGGCTGTAAAAGGCCTTCGAGAGTTCCCTCCCTCTTTTTTGCTTATGGCAAGGTCATCCACATACCCTGCCACATTGCTCCTGCTTGCACACCCCCTGCATGCAAGGCTGTTGCTGCCGTGGGAAACATGGAAAATACCAAGACCCCATGGCTCCCCCCATAGACCCAGCAGTGCCTGAGGTGAAGGCAGGGGCTCATGACTGAGGATACAAGGGTGGGGGCTTCAGCTCCTGATTCCTGCAGAGCAAGCAATGGGCTCTGGGGCCACACAGACTTGGTTTGAGTCTCAGTCACTCTGGGTGCCTGAGTCACTTTCCCTCTCTGTGCCTCAATGGGGACATCTGTAAAATGGAGCTAATAAGTCTACCTGACAGCATTAAATGAGAGGCAGTTTGTAAAAGGGCCTGGCACATAGGAGGCATGTAACAAAAGTGGGCAGCCTTTCCTGAGAGATTTTGAAGCATGAAGTCTAGAGGCAGGCTCTGGGGCCAGAATGTCCAGGTTCAAATTTCAGCTTTGCAGCTTACTTGCCACGTGACCATAGCCAAAATCAACATCTCTGGGTCTCAGTTTCCTCATCTTTAAAATGGGGATGATAATAACAGTAGATATAGTTCTTAAGAAGAGTAAGTGAAGCAATTGCATATAAAGTCCTTGAAGTCCCTGGGTGGTACAAATGGTTAAGTGCTGGACTACTAACCAAAAGATTGGTAGTTTGAATCCACCCAGCAGTGCCTTTGAAGTAAGGCCTGGTGATCTACTTCTGAAAGGTCACAGCCTTAGAAACTCTATGGAGTAAAGTTCTACTCTGCACACATGAGGTCGCCAAAAGTCGGAATCGCCTCCATGGCAACTAACAATGACAAAGCCCTTGGAACAGGGCCTGGACACAGCGTTCTAAAGCAGCGATCTCCATCAGTATTACTTTTCTTTTTCTCCCTATGAGCAGAACATCCTGCTCGAGACCAAGTGTCACATCAGACCCAAAGTGGCCCCTGCAGCTCCTAGGGGCCCTCACCCCGCATTGGGCCCAAGGGTCTGCCCCACCCCCTACCCGCCCACAGTGCTGAGCCACCCAGATAGGCTCACCTGTGGGCATCAGTTCTATGATCAGCTTGGGGTAGGCGATGTTGGAGCAGCCGATCTCAGCCCCGCAAGCACGAAGGCACTCGGAGGGCACCACACAGCCCACGTCATCTGTAAGAGAGGGAGGCTCAGGGCCCATGCCGCTCCACACTGCCCCTCCCAGCACACACAAGTACCTGCTCTGTCACCACCTACACAAGTGGTTAGTTGCTGGGCCTCAGTTTCCTAGTCTAAGCCATGGAGAGCCATTCTGGCTTCTCACACCCCAGACTCTTTTCCTGCCTGCTGCCCTCCATCAGAAATCCTTCTCCCTCTTCCCATGGCCCTGCCAGGTAAGAAGTCCCCACTGGACTCTCCTCCTTTTCTGCCCCAGCCATCCTCCCTACAGGGGAAAACTGAGGCCAGAGAGGGCGGAGGCCGGCACTCGGCCTCTTCCTGGTCTTTGCTTTCACTCGTCCCTGCAGCTCACCAAGCCGGATATAACCACGCAAAAGCTGGGAGGCCATCATTGCTGTTCCTCCATGCTCTTCCCCCTATCCTGGGCCTGTCCCTGACACCCTAGAAGGGACATGAATGTGGCTCTAGGGTCAGAGCTTTAGGCCAGCGGTGTTTTCTGGCCTCCAGAGGGCTCTCGGAGCCAGGTCATGCCATACCTCGGCCAGAACCCTCCAGTCACTTAGAATAAACTTCATGCTCCTCTCTGTGGTCTACAAGACCCACCATCATCCAGCCCCGATCAACTCCTCCCATCTCATCTCCTTCCTGCCTCATCACCATGCTCCAGCGTGCCAGCCTCTCCTCCCTCCTACCTCACTTCTATGTCAGGGCCTTTGCATGTGCTGTTCCTCTGCCTGGCGCGTGCTTTCCCCAGATCACCTTCCACCACCCTATGCTCCCTCTGTCCCGTCACCCCACATCACTTCTCTTCATCCTTTACCACCCTTGGAATTACTTGGGCATGTTTATTGTCAGGTCATATGCTGATACTGTGTTGAATGGTGAGGGACTGATGAATTTCCTGGGCCTCAGCCCACACTTAAATCAACCCTAAGCCAGGCCTCCTTAATGGGCTTCTGGAGCAGGGCCCACGGCCTCTCCCTGTTTGGGGCAGGAACTCAGCCCTGCACCCATAGGCTACGTGCCCGCACCACCCCCACAACCCGCACCACGGCTCCATTCCTGGGGCGGCACTGCTTCCACAAGACCATGCCCTCAGAGTTTGACTCACAGGTCTTCTGTCGAGGCAGGCACGGTGGATCTTGGCCCTGCTCACCACCAAAATTTAGGAGATGGAGAGTCAGTCCCAGGCCCACTTTTCCTCTCATGAAACATTTTCTAAAAGCCCTTTGCGCCACTCTCCTGGGACGTCCAGGAGGTGCCACAGAAGGCAGCACCCACAGGATATGGTGGTGATGGGGATGACTCAGAAACAGAACCTGCCCGATCCCCGCTCCAGAAGCGGCAGGCGTGGGGACACTGCAGACACAAGTGGTCCCTCTGGGCTGTGAGGCCGCATGTGGCAGGCACCCACGCCCCGGGGCTCTGGGTGCTCCCTATGCAGACCCAGCACTTCTGAGTGCAGCACTGCCCCCTCCAAGCACCCCTCTGAAAGGTACCCCTGGACCCCAGCCCCACTAGAGGTGAGGTCTCAGACCCTGCTTCCAGGCCAGCAGCACCATTCACACCGCTCCCCTCTCCCCGACCCACTCCCAAGCTGAGTGACCCCAATCAGGGCAGGCCCAGGCCCCACCTCAGGCACCTCTGGCACAAAAGCTCCTCACTGATTCTCTCCAGCCATCTTTCATGACTGTGAGTTTTCAAAGCCACAGCTTTGATCATGCTACTGACTTCTCAGGAACCTCCTCCCCCATCCCCACCCCTGAAGCCTGGCTTCCTGGAAGAAAAGTCCTTCCCAAGGCATTCAAGGCCCTTGGCAACTGGCCCAGCTGCTTCCTGGCCAGGCACCCATACATCAGCCCCCCTGATCTGCTTCTATTTTCTCATACACACCTAGTATTCTTATACCTCCTTACGTTTACAGAGAGTATCCCCTCCTCCTGGTGTGCTGTCCCAGTTTAATACCCACCCCCACCCTTGTTTATCTCCTGCTCCAACGCCCATTGCTAAGGGCTTGTCCTCTGGGGCCTTCCCTGACTCCCCCACTCCCAGGCAGTAGCAGCTTCCTTCCCAGGGCTCCCACAACTCCCTGTGGGACTAAGTCACAGCTGTTTGTTTACATATTCTACCTCCCCACCAGATCGGGAGCTCCCCAAGGGCAGACACTGGGCTTGAATCATCTCTGAGTCCAGGCTAGCCCAGCCCAGGGCTGGGCCCAGAGGAGACATCGTGTGAACACTTGTTGTATGAATGAATGAATGAGTGAATAGGGAGGGGGAAAGCATTATAGGAGAGGAGGAAAGGGAAAAAGGATCCCAGAAAGCTCCACGAAGGAGTTAAGGGACAGTTTGATCCGGCTGCCCTACCCAACTACCTCCACCCCTGCCCTACCCAACCACCTCCACCCCCACCAGTTTAGCAGATGAAGAACTTCAGAGCCAGAAAGGGCATAGCTGGGCCAGGACACAGCAGGGAGCCCTGTGGCAGGAGTTGAAGACCACTGGGGTCCGGGCTTCCGGCCTGACAGGCTGGCTCTGGCTCTTGGAAGACCCAGCCCTCCTGGGAGGGACAGGTGAGGAGTCACAGCCCTATAATGGCTCAGAAAACCCGAGTCAGTAGATTCTTCTCCAGTTTATTCAGCCCGCTCCAGGCTCTCAGCCCTGGGCACTACCTCCTTCCCACTGCTAGCCTGCTGGAGAGTTTGTGCTGACCAACAAGAAAGAACCTCTCCTCCCTCTGATGTGCCAACTCACAGGCGAGCTTCCCCAGGGCCAGGGGTGCCAGGGAACTGGGCAAGGGGCTTCCAGGTTTGCCAGAACACTGGCTTCTGCAGGCCTGACCATCCTCCTTGAACATTTTTGCACCTGCACCCAGCCAGAGCCTACACTCAGATCTGGGAGCTGCCTCTTTCCTTGCCCTCAGGTCTTCTGTGTCCACGTGCCCACTGGGTGGCCACTGTGCTTGGCTACGGGGGTGGGGCTATACCATCTCCTCGCTGATTTCTGTTGCCCATGGTCTCCTTCCTAATCTGCCTGTCCTCCAAGCCAGAAGCAAGAACTCTGAGACCACAGCCTGCCCACACCACCTATCCCCTGCTCCCAACCCTTCTCCATCGCTCTATCCCCAGCAGGAGGAATCACAGCCCCTTAATGTGCCATTCAAGGCCCTCTGCCCACTTTGCCACCCCCTCACTACTTTCAGCCACGCCTTTGGTGCCCCAGGCTATCCCTTGGACATCTCTGGGCCTCTGTGTGTGCTGTTCCCTCCCCTGAAGCGCCCTTCCTTCCTTCAGAAACCTATGGAACTTATACTTTTTGTGGACATCTGGGCTCCACAGGCCCTGTGTCCATCCTGCCTTCCCTATCAGACATGACTATGGAGCAGGGAAGGGCCTGGGCCCCACGTTGCCCAGCAGAAGCCAACGCATGGTAGCCTCTGTCAGTGTTTGTTGACTGATCGAACGACCCTCTCCCAAGGAGGCTACTGAACACACCCCTTAGAGGTAGTCAGGTGCCTGGTGCATCCCTGAGAGCCAGCCTAGGCACCTACGTCACAGTGGGGAGCAGGAAAAAGGAACAGACCTGAGGTCAAGCCAGCTCTCCCAATCCCTGGCTCGTGAGCTGGGTGATTATATAAGCTCTCTTTTGTAGAAACACTTCTGGGGACATCCACAGGCAAAAAAATAAACCGCAGCTTAAACCTCAGACCTTATACAATAATGAACTCAAAGCGACTCACAGATTGAAATGTAAAACGTAAAACTATCAAACTTTTAGGGGAAAAAAAAATTGGAGAAAATCTTCAGGACCTAAGACTAGATAAAGGGTACTTAGACTTGACACCAAAAGTATGGTCCATAAAAAGAAAAATTGATAAATTAGACCTCATCAAAATTAAACACTTTTATTCTTCATAAGACCCTGTGAAGAGGATGAAAAGACAAGGTATAGACTGGGAGATAAGATTTGTAAACCACATACAGGACCAAGGCCTTGTATCTAAAATATATACAGAATTCTCAAAACTCAACAGTAAAAAAATAAACAACCCAATTAGAAAATGAGCAAAAGACATGAAAGACGTTTCACTGAAGAAGACATACCAAAACCAAACCCACTGCTGTCGAGTTGATTCTGACTCATAGCAATCCCACGTGACAGAGTAGAACTGCCCCACAGGGTTTTCTAGGCTGTAATCTTTACGGAAGCAGACTGCCACATTTTTCTCCCGAGGAGTGGCTGGTGGGTTTGAACCACTGACCTTTCGGTTACCAGCCAAGTGCTTTAACCACTGCACCACCAGGACACCCGAAGACATACAGATCGTAAATAAGCAAATGAAAAAATGTTCAACATCATCAGCCATCAGGAAAATGCAAATTCAAACCACAATGAGATATCATTACACACCTATCAGAATGGCTAAAATAAAAATTGTTGACAGCACCAAGGATTGTTGGCAAGCATGCAGAGAAATTGGGTCACTCATACATTCTTGGTAGAGATGTAAAATGGTACAGATACACTAGAAAACAGGTTGGCAGTTTCATAACAAACTAAACGTGCAACTATCCTACAACCCAGGATTGTACTCTTGTGCATTTACCCCAGAGAAATGAAGATGTATGTCTTCATTTTGCCAGACACAAAAACCTGTACGTGAATGTTCCACCTTTATTTGTAATAGCCCCAAAATGGAAACAATCCAAATATCCTTCAATAGGTGAATGGGTAAAGAAAATGAAATATATCCACACCATGGAATATAAAACCTGTTGCCATTGGGTCGATTCCAATGCATGATGACCCCATGTGTTACAGAGTAGAACTGCTCCATAGGGCTTTCTATAATCTTTACAGAAGCAGATCACCAGGCCTTTCTTCCATGGTGCCACTTGCCGGGTTCGGATCACCAAACCTTAGGTTAATAGTTGAGTACAAACCATTTTTGCCATTGAAAGACCTCCATGAAAAAGAAAAAGGAACAAACTATTGATACATGCAACAACCAGGATGAATCGCCAGAGAATTATGCTGAGTGAAAAAAGTCAATTTCAAAAGGTTGTTGTTGTTAGTTGCCATCTAGTCAACCCAGACTCATGGCGACCCCATGCACAACAGGATCAGACTGTTGTGATCCATAGGATTTTCATTGGCTGATTTTCAGAAGTAAATTGCCAGGCCTTTCTTCCTAGTCCATCTTAGTCTGGAAGCTCTGCTGAAACCTGTTCAGGATCATAGCAACAGGCAAGCCTCCACTGACAGACAGGTGGAGGCTGCACAGGAAATGCACCGGCAGGGAATCAAACCCAGGTTTCCTGCATGGTAGGCGAGAATTCTACCACCTCACTGCCCTCATTCCAAAAGGTTATGTACTGTGTGTTCCATTTATAGAACATTCTTAAAATTATAGCGATGAGAACAGATTAGCTGTTGCCAGGGTAAGGAATGGTGCAGGGAGGGGAGGTGTGGGTATGGCTATAAAGAGGTAGCACAGAGGAGATCTTTGTGGTGCTGGAATAGTTCTATATCTTGATGGTGATAGTGGTGACACAAACGTACACATGACACAATGGCATAGAACTACACACACACGAATGCAGGTAAACTGGTGCTATGTGAATAAGCTTCGTGGGTTGTATTAATATCAGTTTCCTGGCTGTGACATTGTACTGTAGTTATACAAGATATTACCATTGGGAAAGACTTGGTTAAAGGGGTACATAGGACCACTTGTTCATTTTTTTTTTGCAACTTCCTGTGACCCTATAATTATTAGCAGGTATCTGCAGAGGTCCACAGGCCAGAGCCCTTTCAACTCTGAGAACCGGGGCTCCCTTTGAGCCCTGGGGCCTCTGTGCAGTTGTGAGAACAAAGGAGAAACTGAGGCTTAGTGAGGGTCTTGCCACGGGTCTACAGTGGCAGGAGGGGCCATGAATCAGGTCACAGGGCTCCCAGTCCGGGGCTTGCCCTGTGATGTGCTCCCCTCACTGTGGTCAGGGGAGGATGCATGCATGTACCTTGGAGGGGCTACAGCCATCCAGGGTGCCGGGGTTGGGGATGTTGGCTTGAAGCTGAAGTGGTCAGTGATGGGGATCACTGGGGTGTCTGTGCAGTCAATGCCCAGGGCAGGAGGGATTGGGGTGGACTGGAGGCTGCTGGACAGGTGGAAGGTGAGGAGGGTCCAACTCCAGCTCAGACCCGGAGGAGGGGGTTCATGGGCAGGAGGCCTAGAGATGTCCCCAGCCAGCTCTCTATGGCACAAAGCAGTATCCCTACCCCCTTCTCCCGCATATCCAGGGTGATCCAGGGGAGCGATAGGGGGCGAGAGTGCAGGGCTGGCCTGGCAGGCACCTAGCAGACGGCTGGGGCATGCAAAGACAGGGTTGGAGCCGCTGGTCGGGTGAGGTTTAATGGGCTTTGCTCTCCCCACCCTGGCAGCCTGCCTTCAGATGTGGCCCCCACACCCCCTATAACTAGGGTCCCAAGCCCTGGGGACGCGGGGCTGAGAGCCAGGCCTGCCCCCACCCCGGGTTCAGGTTTGGCTGTATTCAGCAATGCAGGACCAGCCCCTGGTGACCCTGCCCAGCACAACCCACTCTATGAAGACACCTGAGGTGGGGACAAACCTTGCCCTACTCCAGCCTGGGCTATCTCTATAGCCCTCGCAGACTCCCAGGATTACCAGCACGACCTGGGGCAGACGGGGCCAATGCTGTCGACTCGCCGCGTGACTTCGGGGAGAACAGTCTCTGGGCTGCAGGGCTCCCCGGAGCTCTTTTGGTCCCCGGGCTTTTCAGAATTTGGGCTCCGGGACCGGGACAGCGGAGTATTAGAGGCGCGCCCCAGCCAAACCTCCGCGGATATCTGTTGGGGTGAATCAGCTTCGGCCCCGCCCCGGCGGCACGTGACCGCAGGTGGCGGGCTGGGCGCCCCCGGCCGCCCCTCCTTCGGCCTCCGGGTAAGCTAGCTGGCCCGCGCCGCCGCCCTTCCGGCCCAGACCCTTCGCGAACCCGAGCCGCCCCCTGAAAGACCCACAGATTGCCAACCCCCAGCACCCTGCACTTAAGACCTCTCCCTTCCCCTAGCCACTGGAACGCGGGGCCGCCCAGACCAGCAAAGGCTGTGAGGGGCTCGCGCCTCCCAGCGTCGGGAACTTTTGAGAAGTTCACAGCCTGTCCTGGTCATACCAGAAGTGGCTTAGGAGTTCGGGCGGCTTCAGAGAGCCCCTGTATAGACATCCCCGACAGATCCAGGTACCGCGGCCCTTGGGAGTGTGGGTCCCTTCCCTCAGCCCCACACCGCACGGTGTCCCTCGGCCCAGCTTTGACCCCTACTTTTTCCCTCGCGTTGTCCCTCAGGCCTGCCCCGACCCCTACTTTTTCCTCTCCGCTCCGCCCCGCCCCCCACGGTGTCCCACAGTCCTGCCTCCCGCTACTCCTCCGCCCCACCCCCTACCGTATCCCTCAGCCCCTCCCTGCCCTCAACTCCCTCCGCCCCTGGTCCCGCCCGGCCGCCCTCTGACCTACCTCGCTCACCTAGTCTCCCTCTGCATGCTCCATGGACAGAGGCGCAGAGGTGGCGGCGAGGCCCTGGAGCGTGCTTTGCGCCCCGGCCAGCGCCCGGAAGTAGGATCGGACCTGTTGGGCTCGCCCGTCCCCCGCTCACCGCCTGCAGAATCTCCGGGCAGGTGGCACCATGGCTTTCTCCCAGGTACAATGTCTGGACGACAGCCACGTGAACTGGCGCTCCAGCGAGTCCAAGCCCGAGTTCTTCTATAGCGAGGAGCAGCGGCTGGCGCTGGAGGCACTGGCGGAGCGCGGCCCCGAAGCCTTCTACGAGGTGCTGAAGCGGGAGAACATCCGCGACTTCCTCTCAGAGTTGGAGCTCCAGCGCATCCTGGAGACTGTCGAAGTGTATGACCCCGGCTCCGAGGATCCGCGGGGCGCGGGCGCGCTCCGGGAGCCCGTGGACGCCGGCGGCGAGGGCGAGGGGGCCAGCGGGGCGGGCGGCGGCGCCCCCACCGAAATCGAGCCGCTGCCCTCGCTGGAGTACTGGCCTCAGAAGTCGGACCGTTCCATCCCCCAGCTGGACCTGGGCTGGCCAGATACCATCGCCTACCGCGGTGTGACGCGGGCCAGCGTCTACATGCAGCCCCCCATCGACGGGCAGGTGCACATCAAGGAAGTGGTGCGCAAGATGATCAGCCAGGCCCAGAAGGTGAGCTAGCGCTGGTCCAGCGGGCAAGCCCCCAGGCTCCACCGATGACTTGGCGCACGCTAACTCAGAGCCCAGCACGGGGTCCCAAAACTGTGCCCGAGGTCCCCATAGGCCTCATCGTTGAAGGGTTCCTCTCTGCCTTTGTGGGGTTCCTCAGTTTCTTCGCAGAGGGGGAGGGTGCTTGGGTCCTCTAGAGGTGACCATGGGCTGCCCTTGTCTCAAAGGGCTTTGTTGTGTGTGTGGGCGGGGTGGGGGTGGGGGGTCTGTTTTTCCCAGACCTGGAGAGCAAGTTCCCAGAGGAAGGTGCTTCCATAGGGTGGGCTGGGAAAGAACTGGGGCTTCTCTCTCTTCCTCTCTCCCATCTCTCTTGGGATGGCTCTGATTCACCCTTGAGAAGCAGGAGCCTCACGCACCCCAGGAGCTCTCTAGTGTTGCTTCTGTTGATTTGGAGAAAGTCTTGGGGGGAGGGTAGTCATGGAGATTGAGAAAAGGCCTGAGTCCATCTGAGGCTGGCCTGAAGGTCAGCCTGGAGTTCAAATTTGGCTCTTTCCTGGCTGTTGTGGGTGACCGAGAGCCAGCTGGTTACCCTCTCCGAGCTTTTCCGTGAGTTTTGCAACAGCAGGGATTTTCCAGGCTGGGATACTGGGTGCAGATATAGCATGGTTCTCAGGGGTGGAAGCGGAAAGGGTACAGCCACGTATTGTCCACTTGTGTTGAATTTTGCTGCTGAGAGGGACCTCATCAAACCATTGTGTGGACTTCCCCTTCACTACCCTTGCTGGGCTGTGAGGGCCCCACCACAGTGCCCTGAGTGTGGATTGCCATCCTCTGCTGAAACCCTGGCACACATTCTACAACAGGATGCTCACTGCTTGTAGGGACAGGCAGGCTGAGCAAGTGCGTCTCCTGCAGGGCAGTGTCTTTTTATGGTGTCATGGTTTCAAAGCAAATCTGTGTTGAGAAGAGTTCTGAAGCCAGGTCTGGGCTCCCTAGAGAGTAGTGATTGATTAGCAGTGTCTGTCCTGGCCTTGGGTTGTGGGGTGAGGTATTCTCAGATGAGTCTCACTCCTTCACCGCCAGGGGAGGAAACAGGCCCAGAGTGGGGCAGTGGCTTGCTGTGTGGCCCACCCTGGCTAACTGACAGGCCTGGGGGAACTCTTGGGCCGAGAAACCACAAGTGGGTCAGGAGCTGGCAAGGTGGCCATGGCTCAGGTTTCTGGAAAGGCGGAGTCCCTGTCCCAAGAGGGGTCAAATGAGTCAGATAGCCCAGGTCAGGGAGCCTGGTTCTCAGCCTGTCCCTCTCCCAACTTGCTGGCTGACCCCAGACAGCTTTGGGGCTTCAGTTTTTTGGTCTGTAAAATCGAGGCGATGAAGATAAAAGCTATGTCTTTGAACTGTTGTGAAGATGGAATCAGGTGATGAGAGTGAGGAGGAGGAGAGGACTTTCGTAGTTTTCAGGTTGCATAACCTGCCCCACACCTCCTGTGAGGCAGGAAAGCGCACTGCTGATGTTGGGGGCCTGGTGGGGGATGGCTCTGGCTTGAGGTCATAGAACCGAGAGAGAGCCCGCTGGGATTCCATTATGTAGCCTCCACCCCCATGTTAAAAGTGGGAGACTGAGGCCTGCTGTGCCAGGGCTCCTCCTCCATGACCCTTCTTCCCACCAGCAGTAGGAAGGAGGCAGACACCAGGTCCCAGTATGGCATGGGAACAGCGGAAGGGTCTAATCTCCCCTGGATGGAAAGACAGATGGCCTGGCCTAGAGATGGAGACAGACAGGGGTGCCTGGGCCAAACTGTGCCCTTATGGCCTCCCCTGCTGCCTCCTCCCACGTTTCTGGCAAGAGCTGAGACCCAGCCACCCCATGCAGCCCCTTGGTCCCCCATAACCTCATTAGCTTTCCACAAAAGCCCCATGAGGTTATCAGTGTCGTCTGCCTATGCCACATAGCCAGGAGAAGTAGATCACGGATTAGAACCCAGGCCTGCTGAAAGCCTCAGTCGGGGCCTCCTGAAGCCTCCCGGCAGGTGGGCACTGCCCTCCCCTGCTTCCTGCCTCTCAGTGGGATGGGGGTCACTCTCCAAGACTTTCCCTCTCCCGCCCCAGACAGCAGTGCTCCTGTGGGGAGTCAGGGAACCCTGGTCAAATCAGGATGGATCAGAGGGGACAGAGGCCATGCCACTGGTCTTATGGATAGGGACACTGAGGCACAGAGGATAGTGGTGTGCCGAGCCCCCACGTGTTTCCCAGCCATGTCCATCCCAGACCCTGTGGGGACCTGTGGCTGCCCTGTGTGTGTGTGGGAGGGCTCTAATAACACTAGCTGCTGTTTACTGAGTGCTTGGCATTTTGTAATCTCAGGAGGCATTATCTGCCACATTTTTCAGAGGTAGAAACTGAGGCCTGACTAGTTAGCCCCTGCCCAAAGGGCATCCAGCTTGTTCTTGGGTGGAGGGGCAGGAACCAGCCTGTGTTGCCCCCAGACTTTGGGCCTGCCCCCTTCTGCCTGGCCCCTGGCGGGGTGCAGCAGCAGGCAGGGCTTGGGAGGGCAGTGGACCCAGGCTGCCTGCAGTCACTCCAACTTCCCCCTCTGGCTGCTTCCCAGGCTCACAGGGCTGGAGGGCTGGGTCGCCAGCGCTGACGAACGCTGACAGGGCGCTTTGCCTGCCTACCTGCCCACCAGGAGCTTCCCCTGCCTTATCTCTCCTCCTGAGTTACCTCACATCCACTTGCCCCTGCCTCCTCCTTCCTCCTCCTGTCCCTGGTGTCAGTGCAGGGAGAATGTCCCCCCTGGTGCCCAGAATGGGAACTCCACTGTGCGACCCCCTGACCTGAATACTGGTCCCACCCTTCCTGGGGCATTGGGTTGGCTGCTGGCACTGAATCAGGCAGCCTGCCTGCCAGCTCCTCATCCTGCCCTGTGTCAGCATGACAGGAAGACCCTGGGGCAGGGAAGTGACACAGCACCTCTCAGCCACGTCAACTCGACTGCCGGGAGGGGCTGTGTTCCCATCAGAACTGCCACCAGGCCCCCCATCCCTAAAAGACTTGAACTAGTGGACATGAGTCCGAGGAGCCAGGAGTGCTGGAGTCAGGTCCCCTGCTCTGCCCCTACCTTGCTGTGTGACCTGGAACAAGCCCAGCTCCTCTTCAAGCCCTGGTCATCCCATCTGTAAAATGGGTACAGGCATTGGAGACTGTGAAGGGTCCCTTCCAGTCTGACATCCTGCTGTGCTGTGGTCTAGACTTCTCTCAAACCAGGTATAGGCAGCTCCTGGGTCTGACTCCAACTGGCTGTGCAGCCCTGAGCAGGCAGCTCGACCTCTCTGAGCCATCATCCAGCCCCAGGAGCTCCGGCCCTCTGAGACGGAAGGCCACTGCTTGTCTGAGCCAGACGCCTTCCCACCTGCCTGCTTCTCCAGCTAGTGCTGGATGCTGAATGCCTCCCCTCCCCCAGCCCCTGGGAGCTAATGACTTATCTGGGGAAAAACCTGCTAGGGGGTTCCAGTTGCATACCAGAGGCTGGGCCTGTAGCATCACGCCTGGGAGGGCTGAGCCTGCTCTCGCTCTTGTGGCAGCCTTGACAGAGAAATGAGGCTGGGCTGAGGAGGGGTTGCCACAGAGGAAAAGGGTAGAGATGCCTAGCAGGTTGCCCTTTCCCCAGATGCTGAGACCCTCACACCCCCACAACAAGTGGCAGGGCCCCTGGCACCCCTGGCAGGCCCCCTGCCCCAGGTGGGACTAGGACCCAGATCTCGCGCCTGCCTGCCTGCCAGCCAGGGCCTGGGATCGGATGCCCAGAGGAGTATTTCTGGCCCAAGGCCACACAGCCAGGAGGGGCTTCCTGAACCCCGGTTTCATGGGGCCAGTGAGCCCACATCTTTCCTGTCAGGCCCCCCACCTTCATACGCTGAAGTTCTGGCTGGTGGCTTGGCTCCAGGAGAATAGAAGTAGCTTAACAAGGCATTTATTAAATGCCAGCGATGTGCCAGGTGCTGAGCAGGCACTTTACCTGCATTGTTGAATCCTCATAACAACTCTATAAAGTGGGCGTTGTCTCCATTGTGCAGATGAGGATACTGAAGCTTGTCAGGGCTCAGAGAGGGTGGATAACTTGCCTGACATCACAAAACCGGTAACTGGTAAAGCCTAGACCAGAACCCAGGTCTATAGTCCCTGGAGCCCCCTTGCCTTCCTTGGAGAAACACCCAGCTGTTCCTCCTGAGCTTTGCCTTTTAATGGAGCATCCGAGCCTCCTCGTGGCCCTTGCCAGACTCAGGACAGTGAAAGTATTTTCACAAGACCCCCTGTCTGTGTCAGTCATCCAGACACCGGGCTGTCTGGTGGGGAGTGCCTGCATGGGAGCCACCACCAGTCCTTGCAGCCCTTCCTGGGGACCATGAGAGAGGGCCGTCTCCCTCCACACCTCGGTCAGGGTCCAGGACTGCCTCCAATGTGCGAGAGGCCTGAGAGGTGGCCCAGTCCTGTCCCCAGGTGCGTGGCCCACAGGCCCGTGCACAGGATGGGAGTTGCCGGCAGCCTGCCCTGACCGGACCCAGGCCCAGCCCCCAGGCCCTCACCTGTCAGGGTGGGAATTCTCTGATAACATCATTCTATCCAGGGTTGGCTCCTGCCTCCAAAGGCTTCCTACCTGACTGCGTTTGCATCTTAATGGAGAGTTTTAGGGAGAGTAGTGGGGAGAGGCCTGCCAGGGGAACATCAGCCCCTTTGGGCCCTTTTGGGCCTGGTGCACACCACACCCTGCCATGCTCAGCATGACTGGCAGGGGAGGCAGAAGGGTCATCCCTATAGCTCAATCACATGCTGGCCCCAGCCTGGCAGGCATTGGTCTGGGTGGGCTGCACCAGCCTCCTGCTTGAGTCCAAATGACCCCTAGGCTTAGGGACCTTCCCAGCTGTGGTGGGAAGATGGGCTTTGGCATCACAGGGACCCAGACTGAGCCTCACTCTGCTGCTTATCTTGCCATGGCTGTCCCAGGA